TTCTAGTGGGTGGAGGCCAAAGTTCAGGTTAAAGAACCCCTTACAACGTTTGGAGGCAACAGAAGGAAAGGCACCGACACACAAGTGTGTCGAGTACCATTTCCTCCTGTTCTCCTAAGTAGTGGAACAGGTACACAGTGGGGCGTCCCCCACTGTATCAGCACCTGCTGGCATCCTCTTCGTTGGACGGGAAATGCCAGAGGTGTCCCGCCCCCCTGTTCCGAAACTTAAGGTTCCCTTTAATTCCAAGGGTTACACACACACGCCTCCCCGAAGGGAGGCATGTGTGGCCCCCATCCTGCCCGGAAAGGAGGTGGGCACATGCGCACGCAAAAGGGACAGATGCAAATGAAAAGGACGAGACAGACAAAGGTGTGTGTGGTTGCCGATGAAAAGGAATCAAGTGAAGAGGGACAACCGATGAGCCAAACCTCATTGTAACGAACCTGGGCCACCTGAACCTCGCTGTAAGTAGAGTACGCGTGCGTGCTGTAAGTGTAAAAACTAAGGTCCGGACGATAGTGCGCGCAAGAGAAAGAAAGGATGAGGATGAAGAGACATGAGAGCGACCGGCAAAACTAGGGGTCGTTTGGTGGTACGTTTAGAGCATGGTATCGTTTTTGGGATTGGTATCGTTTTTTTCAACCCATATGCAATTTTTTTTTGGGAGGTATCGTCTAAATGTAATTTGCTCTGGAAGGTGATCTTGCAAATGATGACTAGTAGTCGTCGTGTACTAGTACTAGTACTACGTACTAGCTGTAGTAGTAGTAGTAGTAGTAGTAGTAGTAGCAGTAGCAGTAGTAGTAGTAGTCGTCGTCATCGTCGTCACAGTAGTAGTAGTAGTAGTAGTAGCAGAAATAGAAGTAGTGGCATGTGAGTGGGCAGGTGGTGTCTGAGGGGATACAGACCTATGAAGTGGGTATCGTTTGGTATCGTTTTTGGTATCTGTCTGAAACCATAATTGTTTCCCATCAAAGAAAAAGAAGGGAAAATTAGCAAAAATGAACTGGAATGTCCAGCTAGCATGGCAAACCATATGCAAAAAAACCTTGGACATACACTGTCTCGAGTGTCAACATTGTCAACGGGCAAAGATAGATTCCAAGATGTGTACCGTCACAAGGCTAGGTATCGTTTTTGGGATTGGTATCGTTTTTTCAAGGAACATGCAAATTGCTCATTTTTGAAGAAACGTGAGCGCCGACCTTTAGCACTTTGCTCAGAAGGACATGAAAGAAAAGAAGGGAAAAACGTCTGTGGGGGCGGATGAAAGGGGAACCAAATGAAAGGGGACAAACCGATGACAGTCCAAACCTCATTGAGAAACCTGTTGCAGAAGCCTAGTTTGCTTGTAAATACGCCACGCGCGAGGAAAGAGGGGGGAGGGGAGGAGGAAAAGAGAAGGAGGGAGAGAAGGAAGCAAAGGTGTTCCCAGCTACGGCACAAGCGTCCAAGGACACACCAAAAAGGAAGGCTCCCAGCCATGACGAAAGCATCCAGGGACGCCCAAGGAAGAGGGCGAAGAGAGGAAAACGAGAAGGAAAGAAAGGGAGAGGGAGAGAAAGGGAGAGGAGAGAAAGGAAGGTGTTCCCAGCTACGAACAATCGTTCAGGGACACACCAAAGAAAGAAAGGGGAGATCCTGAGTATTACATTCAGGAAGACCCCAGAGAGAAAGGGGGAGGGAAGGGGGGCTAAGTTCTCCACAGGTTCCAATGAACCTTGAACAAACTTCGGCCGCTGCGGCCACGTACGCCGTGCCAACATGGCTGGCTGCTTTGACCGCTGCGGTCACGTAGAGGCATAAGCCAGCTTGGAATTCCAAAGACGAGACAAAAATCTGAGTTCTCTCGGCCTAGGCCACCTTCGCAAGCTGTGGGCACTTACGTTTCCAAAGCAAGGGAAACAACGACAAACCCCCGTTCGACGGGTCCACGGGAGGCACTCTGCGGGCTCATCCCGGGTTGGCACGAGGCCAAACACACTTATGGATATGCATACGGACTTGACAGCGGTGCCACACGCCAGCCTAGGGTTAAAAAAGCCTGAGTAAACCAAGGTGCAAAAGTTGGAAGTCATCGCTCTTAGGTTAGAGGCCACCGAAGGCAGGTTGAGAGGCCATCGCTAGTAGGTTGGAGACAAGAAACCACAAGACAGCAAAGCGGTCAAAGTTGGAGGTCTTCGCTCTTAGGTTGGAGGCCGTCGAAGGCAGGTTGGGGGCCATCGCTAGTAGGTGACAAGAAGCACAAGACAAACAAGACAGCAAAGCAGCAAAAGTTGGGGGTCCATTCTAGTGGGTGGAGGCCAAAGTTCAGGTTAAAGAGCCCCTTACAAAGTTTGGAGGCCTACCTGCACCTATAGGGTAGTCTAGAGGAGAACAGAAGGAAAGGCACCGACACACAAGTGTGTCGAGTACCATTTCCTCCTGTTCTCCTAAGTAGTGGAACAGGTACACAGTGGGGCGTCCCCCACTGTATCAGCACCTGCTGGCATCCTCTTCGTTGGACGGGAAATGCCAGAGGTGTCCCGTCCCCCTGTTCCAAACCTTAAGGTTCCCTTTGATTCCAAGGGTTGCACACACACACACACAAGGTGGCTCCAATGAAGGAGAGCGGCGATGCATCAACATGACGCCAATCACGTTCAGGCGTCTGTGGGGCGACTTTCCTGAGAAAAGCAACATCAAACAGCTAAACAGTGACAAACAGCAACTCAGCAGCCACATTTCGACCGAAACAAGACCCCTTCAAACGCAAGTGCGCTTCTTTCTGAGCAAGTTTCTGGCTGAAAGTTCGCGTCATCTGAGGCTGTGCCTTCAGGTTCTGAATGAACCAGCAGATCTTGATCAAGGACACTGACTGATAGAGACACACACACACACACTAACGGCAGTCTGGCTGCCTCCAAAACAGTGCTAAGTCCATCATCTCAAAGAAAAGTATAGCAAAACACTAGCCCACTTCCTGCCTCGCGGCCACGCCGAGGTGTTTCTCTAAAGGCCTGAGATGTTTCTCTTCGGGCGATTCTTTTGGGGCTTGGCTTTGCCAAAGAAACAACCTGTGTCTGGTCCCAAGGCCATGGTTCACAAAAGGTCTGATCTTCGTGGGCAGCAGCATAGCAAACACAATAAACCCCATCTGTTTGGCCAGACTCTTGTCAAGTCCTAGGATGGGTCCAAGCTTCAATCTTTGGCCGCGGAGAGCTGCTCCTGGCTGGAAGAAAGCGATTTGCTGGTGGTGTCAGTCCCAACCTGAGAGGCAATGGGGGTCCTGGTGGCACGAGGGGCTTCAACCTGCATGTGGCTGAAGAAAATGCTGAACATGAGGACTGGCTGTGACAGCCGCAGTCAGTTCTACACCCAAGCCCTGGCCTTTGCTTCAAGTGGATTCCTCGGTGAGGCGTTTCTTGACAGCCTCTGCCTGGTGCAACAGGGCTTTGAGCAGGAGCTTTCCAGCATCTTCGGATCAAACAAAACCCACCAGTGGTTGTCTGGTCAATCGCTCAGTGCCAAATAAAGCCAGGGTGGCATCGAGCTGGTATAGGCAAGCCGCGGCGAGATTCTCGGAGATGCCCCTGCAATGGCAATTCCAAAAGGCCGGAGGGTGTTCCAATGTATACAGTGACGTAGAAGCTGAAATTGTCACCGCCAAGACATGGTCCATGCTCATTATGTTCATTCCATTGCTGAATCTAGGTCCGGTTACAAGAAAGGTTCTCAATGTGCTAGACGGGCTGAAATGTCGGCTGCGATTTGCTTGCTTTCATGTCTGTAGCAACACTTGACTTTCAAAGCGCATCTGCGTCACCTAGTGAATGAAGGAAAATACATACGTGCTAAACATTCACCCAAAGGCCATCGACCGTCTTCAGGGGCTCCCATGAAGGACTTTAGCACAAGATCGACCCAACTTCAATACTCAGTCAATACTCGGTCCAACTATATATATATATATCTATAGAACCGCTGAACCGCTTCAAGTCAGTTGTCCAATTGAAGTGTCCAGTGCCAAACCGTCGAATCTGAGTCCGCCGGAACTACCGACCACCGGCGTGCAAAAGCGCACCTACGGTTCGGAGAGGAGGTCTCTTGGTCTCCACCTGGTCGTGGAAAAATGTCTGGGTCTATCACGCATGGTGATGATGATTAAGTAATTATCAAGTATAGGCCATCATAGTGACCATCATATCATAAAGCATCATCATGCATCATCCATCATCTCAATGAGATGCCTTTTGAATGTCTTTAGCAAACGCCCCGTTGGCTGCTTTCGATCTGCCTGAGTGTCAGCGGAACGCGGTGCCGAGGCCTGACATGGGGTGCTCTCGGTCCGAGCGGTGGAACTCAGTCGACTGAGCAAGCCACCACCTGTAGCGTTCTTGTTCCTAGTAGTAAGACTGCTCCCAGTAGTGATGCCAGGAGCCCCGATCGTAGCGTTCTTGTTCCTAGTAGCGATGCCCGAAATGCTCCTGGTAGCTTCTTGTTCCTTGGCGTTTTAAACAAAGCATGGAGCAAAACAAAGCACTGCTTTGCTTCTCCCATCTTCTCCCCACCTTCGCGCTGAATCCATCTACACCAAGGGCCTCAAGGCTGGGAAGGTCTTGCCATCAAGACGGTGGTGGCCTATTTTACAGTAACAAGGACGCTGTTAAGTGGAGGCCATCGCAAGTAGGTTGGAGGCCATCGCTACTAGTAACAGGAAGCTACTAGTATGACTCCATCTCTGCCTTCGTCGACTTGCGATGGCTGCTTGGGGGTCCGCCGGCCCTCATCGCGCCTGAAGCATCTTGGCAATTGGTGCTTCACCAATTATATAAATGACTCCTTTCCTTTCCGAACAGCTGGGTTGAAATATGTTTAAATATGAAAAAACCTGGGTCATGGGCCTGGGTTCTCTGAGTTGACAACAAACGCATTCTTAACCAAATAAGCCAGCACGGCTGCAGTATGGAGAGCAGTCATGACGAGACTCATGACACCATGATTTGATGCTCCACAACGTAGCTGTCCTAACTCAGGCTGAAACGACGCGGCATACAGGAGAAATGTTTTGTCTTGGTGGTCCAAAAGCATGGATTGGCACAAGCAAGCAGTTTTGTTCTGGCTCATGTTGGAAAGCTCAGCCACATACTTTCTCCGTGCAACAGCGCCACCTAAGGTTTAGCCGGAGTATGCAGGTGCACGGGTCTCTGGTGGGGAGGTTACGGTGCGACGTATGGTCTCTGAGGGTGCGACGTAAGCGCGCTCAGCCTTGTAACCCTCATCCTCGTCCACCTTGCTTGCGGAATGCACAGCTGGCAGTGTTGCTTTGAACAGCGGTGATTGGCACCAGCGAGATTGAAAAGAAAAACCAACAGCTATGACTAATCAAATGCTGTTCCATGACCATCTGAAGTAAAAGCCTTTACCCTTTGCGAGACCAATGGCCACGGCTGAACTCCTACCTCCATGACCATGGCCCATGTTCGCCCCTTGAAGCTATGATCTAACCGTCTCAGTGGCCCTGGATGCAAAAATTCGGAGCAAAGGATGGGTGTCGAGGTATGCTGGAGCCGCAAAGCCCTCTGGAGTGGGCAAAAGGGCTTGCTTCTAGAAGTAGCTGCAACTGACATGCTTCTAGAAAAGCCTGCTTGATGGGTCGTCCGGTCTAGCGCTATTGGAGCAAGTGCCATTCTGAATGAGAAGGACTTGATGCCACCCTCGGCCCTTCTTGAATACTGGAGTCTCTTAGGACGACGCGTGAGATCTAGGGAGTTACTACTAGCTTCTTGCCACGTTCGTAGCGATGGCCTCTAACCTACTTGCGATGGCCTAATAGCGTCCTAATGCTGTATAATCAAGTAATCTTTACATATCTTTGCCCCCATCCATCAGTGCTAAGTTGAAAGTCGTTCACGAGGCTTTTGCTCCACTGCAGTTTTTTCTTCTGGACTGGAAAACCCCATCTCACTACCTTCGGGCCTGTCTAGCTGTCGGTCGTTCGGCAACTTGCTTCTGAGTCCATGTCTGTCTTCTTCTCACCAGTTGTGCAGTGCGCACGACATGACATGGTAGGCGGGCTCACGGCAATTGGATTACAGCTGTGTTTTTTCTTTCCTGAGCGCTAGAAGGGCTCAAGTCATCGACAGTGCCTTCGGCATCAGTCGGTCATGTTGTTCATGACTTCTACGGATTGATAGATTCCAATACCTGACTCACACATCATGAAATGACCTACAGCAGCGTTTGCGATACAAAGCGATACAAAGTATATACGCAAGCAAAACCATAGTCATGTCAGGCTGTACATTCCACCTCATTCAATCTTCAATTTCTGAAGGTTCTTCTTCGATTTTGGAAGAGTCCTCACGGTTCCTCTGCATTTTGACCAATTCCTCAACTAGCTTGTCGTAGGCATGCAACGGGTCGCAGCCAAAGCCAAAGCCGTCACCCCCGCGAGCATTGTCTGAGACCAGCGTGCCAGATGAGTCCATGATGATCAAACGTGGAGCCTCTGTGATACAATGTGCAGTGAAGAGTTTCACGATAATTTCTCGGTTCTTCAATGGTATGGAGAGCCATGGCATTTTGGCCATGTGTAGCTGCCACAATGTCTCATCAACATCCAGTGGTACAAGAATCACTTCAAAAGCCTCGCTCCCATGCATGTCTCGGATCTGCTTGTAACCCTGGGCCAGGATTGGCACAAAATATTGACATGGGGGACACCAAGAAGCAGAAAAGTAGAAGGCGATCAACTTGTTCGACAGTTGAGTTGCGCTGATCTCCTCACCATCTTCGCATTGGATCAAATTTTGCAACCAAGCAAGGGAATCATTCGAGACTTTCCTTCGGCTGCCACGCTTCGCCAGTGAGGCATGCGACATGGAAACAACTGCAGCCAAAATGGCCACACCAAAGATCACATGGAGTTCACCACCCACATTCGTTGCCCCCGGCTCAAACACAAATCTTACTCACCAAAGCCGTCCTAGATCACTTGCGCATACAAGGCAGTGACTACGGGCGAGTGCTTGCTTCGCTATATATTTGCATCGATGTCAGAAATTCTGGCAGACTGAAATCCGCCGGCTGTAGCCGGCTTGTTCTGTGGATGTTCCTGTTGCTGTTGCTGTTGTGTTGTAAGTCTTTCCCCTACGCGCGGATTTTTGCTACCCCCCCCCTCCCCCCCCTTCTCCTCTCTACCATGTTATATAATATTATACATTGCATCCCTTCTCCTATGTTATTTTGTCTGATCTGTATCTCTCTCCGAGACACATTACTAACAACAGTGTGTTTCATCTGCCTTTAGCTCGACTCATGGCCTTGCCAACTTTCCTGTGAGCCCAGGCCATGAAACCGTGAAGAGTCACACTGCAATACATTACCAACCACGTTGCATGCATCCCAAAGGCACAAAGTACATGGCCACCTGGAAAGCCGGCGGAACACGCCAGCGGCGGTTAAATAAAAAAGAAACATATATACAAAATGTTTGTAGAAATTCAGGTAACTAGTAAGTAGTCCTTGAGCAAAACCTTGCGCCGGCCTTGCACGAACAATGCGCGATACAGGCTTTAGGCTACCTACTACCAATAAGAAAATGGTGCTACTAAATTCTGTTATGCGGGTTTTGGAACGACTTCCATATATACATATATATATATATTTTTTCTTTTCTCTTTCTCAGCTTTGACGCTCACACACGTACAGTCTCTAATGCTGGTGCAGGTTTTGCTGCGAAAACTATCTTGCTATGTACAGCATCCATCAGACTTTAGCTGCTGCCACAGCCAAAGGGTCGTTGGCAACCGCCACCTGATTCTGATTGACCACTCAATGCTTTGGCAACAGCTGAATACTGAGACCACCACTGCCAGGATTTCTGGGTCCTCCAGCGAGCTAGTAATGCAACATATATGCTTATAATGCAAATGCATTTGTTGTGTTTATGGCAGGGAGTCTGCTTTCCGTGACCTACAATCTTTGGACATGACGTGTGTGTTCATTTCCGTGCATATCGCAAACATCTGTGCTCCTGCCGCAAATCTGGAGACGCATGAGCAATTGCACAACCTGCCGTGCTCACCACCTGTTTCACGCTGAACTTGTCGCAGCGCAGCTCCCAGGCTGCAAACATGAAGCTGTCAGGATCATGTTCCTCAGATCTGGTGAGCCAATAGATTCAATGGATCCTACCAACTCGTGTGCCAATCTCCTCTGCCTTCTTAATTACTGGTCTTTAATGCCAAACACACGGTGACAGCGCCTGCTGGCGGCCGTGCGATGATTTTCAAGGACACCCTCGAAGCCCGGGGAGTATTGCCATTTCTGTTGAACATGAAGGCACACATGTGCTAAGGCCGGGAGTATTGATTCAAAAAGTGTACTTTTAGATCCCTCATTGTGGCGAAACTTGCATTCTTGTTTTTTTTTGGCCCCATTTTTCAACTCTCATTTGTCCATTAACCATCAAGAATAATCTGTTTGTCCTAGCGGCGTATTCTTCATTTACATACTAATATCCTTTTGGTTTCCTAGCTTGAGCTCCCTCAATGCGTGAGATTAACTTTGAACTCATTGCACTTCATACCACGGATTCTGTAAGATCAAGCAAGCGCCTGGGCCCTCAAAGGAACCTATCCACTGACACAATGAGCCTGGAAAAAGCACATCCTGGGGTTGAACAAACACGTTAGCTTGATTTTGGGGCAAAGTTGCTCTTTATATATCCCTTCCGCGCTCCTTTGTGGCCTCAAATCAGCCTTTCCTGCAAGGCAAAAGTTGAAGCAGCTGAGTCACAAACCCAATTAGTTCTCATGATCCTCAAGTCCCACCCAGCATTCTTGCCCACCCCCATTTAATCATCAAACTCTTCGTCTGAGATCTCCAATCACAACCTCAATCTCCAGAACTCAACCCCCTCTGTTTTTGAGGGGCTGGACCTCCTCATGGTTGCTGGACCCTACTTCTGTGTCCACAGCATGACCGCTTGGTGAAGCGTATCAGCACGTGAAGCCGCTACCTTGCACTGGATCATTGCCTTCTCTAAATCTTTTGCGCAAGACATAAAAACCAACCAACCTATATCATCCATAGCACTTGGCCTCCTTGCCAGTGATGTAGCCACTGCCATGGTCATGCGCATGAGATGCTTCGTGATTCTTTTCCAAAGCGTGCCACTGAAGGGCAAGTTACTGCATCTCCATGGTGCTGATCATGCAACTTGTCGTCTGAAAAGGCCCACTCAGTGAAACAAGCAGCATCCTCATGCCTGATCCTCCCAACGCGATCAGCTCCCTGACTTAGAATCTGACTCTACACTGCATCCCTTGCACCAAATCTTCTGATGCACGAGGTACTATTTCATTCCTTTGTTCTTGGTGTGCGCAAAGTCTACTCCTACCCCTCTGCTGCACAGAATGTCTTCATGCAAGCCGCAAGTGTTCCAAATCCAACGTTGCCACTGCCGAAACCTCAAGCTATCCCCACCTCATGCAGCATCTGAGATTGCCCATGGGCTCAAGAATCGCCATCTGTGCATGGCTAATTGCCCTCAACCTTGCCTCCATCCAAAATGGGTGCACCATATCAATCTCAACCTCTCCTTCCTCTCATTCCCAGTTCTTCAGCAAGTTTGATAGGTGAGGGATGGTGAGTGGCTGGCCAGCGTCTACAAAAGGACCTTGTGTAACACTATATGGTGTTTCTCTGATGTGGTCAACTCTTGGTACGACTCCAATTTGTTGCATGGATCAGCTTCCTGATCTTGAAGCAAAATAGTAGCAAGAATCATGAAGAAACTTGATCCAGTTCTGTCTAGTTCTCACTTCATGCATCTTCATGCAGCCAGTGGTGCGTCTCCTCATCCCCGTATGTAGATGACCCCAAATTTTCACAACAATTCTCCTTTTCTTTATGAATTGTTGTCGTGTGTGGGATCCTGTTCCAAGCAAAGCAACCAGGGTGCTCTGAGAACGCAGAAAGCCATTGACGAAAAATGCTTAAGTCCTCCTGTTCTGAATCGTGGGAGACGAATCCAGGCAGTCTATATGGAACAATGTGTTCACTAAAGGCGTAATTGTGTCATGAGTGGGTATGTTTGGAAACTTGGAACCCTTACCAGGCATTTTCAAATCGCAATGGCCAAGAATCCACCACCTCCAACACGACGTCCAAATTGCGCTTCAGTCTGAACGAAGCTTTCTCGAAAATGCGTCGGGAGAAAGGTGCAGCGGAGATCCTGCGAGCTAAGTGACAACAGTGACAACCTGTTTCGAGCAACTTTGCACATCAGAAACATGACCAATACCTCTTCGTCATCTCCAAGTCATCCACAAAGACTCTTGAAGACTTGTTCAATCTTTCCTATCTGCCGCCATTGCTAACTTTTGTTCGATCTCTCAGAGATCGCCGCATGTTTATAGGGCGGCTATATACTAATAGCAAGAAGCTACTAGGTAGGAGGCCATCGCGAAAGGAAAGGTTGGAGGCCATGACTACTAGTAGCAAAGACGCTACGATCGGGGCTCCTGGCCTTGCTACGAAGGGAGCGATCGGACGCTACGCACGGGGCATTTCGGGCATCGCTACGAACAAAGCTCCCAGCCGTCACCCGCTTCCGGTCACGAAGGATCGATCATCCAGCAACTCCCGGGCCACGAAGCGCGCGGACTGAGAGTTTTGGGCTAAGGCTTCGAGCACGACAAACGCAGAGGCACGTAGATCTGAGGAAGCATGCCTGAGTTACATAACCTTCATACATCAGCAGGAATGAAAAGGCATGTCACACCGTCGCAAGGTCCACATCATGGTTTGCAACATTTCATTGGCGTGTGCAACCTGCGGGGTATGGTAGTTCAGAATGTGCCACACTTTTGTGCTTGATCAGGACATACCAGGACCAGTCATAAAAATAAGTGAAGCAAATAACGTGCTAGTGTCACGCGTTGTAGGTTTCCAACATAAACTTGATAGATTAGGAGGGCCAGTTTTGTCTAGTGGCTGTGACCCAGGGTGCATCGGACCGGGGTTCAATCTCCGGGAGCAACACTAGGCACGCAGGCGGGCCACTACCCCACTCCTGCAGTTAAGGAATGCGGACCGAATTGAATTGTTGCAGTCCCAAGGCCCCATCGAGAAGCTATAAGCTAGGAATTGCCAGTCAACATGTGAAACAGACTCTTTAGATTGTTTCGTGCAGGAACTTGGCTTAGCGTTGCCAACCTGCAACATTGGTGATTGATACTCGCGGGTTTTGATGCAAAGGTTGTACTTTCAAACCTCTATTTGTAGAATGCTATTTATTTCTGTGATTCGAGCTTGATGCATTTTGATGCATCACCGGAATGAAATGATGCTTTCTTCCTTGATCCGGGGTTTTTGAACTGGTCATTGATAAGCGATCAAGCACAGTGAGTTTTACGATGCAATCGTGTGCAATCTTCCATGGGTGGGATCTCTTTTGGGACTAAGCTCTACTGAGCTAAGCGGCTGTAGGGCGAGGCCATTCTGCCTCACAGCGGTCAGCACGACATCCTGATCTCCACAAAGCTCCTGCAGGTAAACCATTGTGAAACAACCTCCGAATAGGTCACCAGTGGCTTTGGCTGCTCTTGTCACTCGTGTCAAGTATCTATCAAAAGTGTCTGGATTGAGAAGTGTTCATGGACGGCATGACACGGCTTACCTTTGCAGCATGGCTCAAAGCCAAGCCATTCTCCCGTACAGCTGCAAGAACCAATGGCCGGTCTGACTTCAAGTCCTCAACCAGCCGGTTGAGGGTTTTGTGAGATTTCTTGAGTCGAACAAGGAGAGCAAGGGAGCCAGCAAACAAACGCACGGGTGAAAAGCTGCGAAGCAACAACAGCAGAAGCAACATGCATTCAAACATGAACTTGCGCTTGACTCTTCAAGTCACATTGCTGGCGTGTTGTAGCGCATGCCCATCAGCGTGCAGCGCCGCGGCAACAATTTCCTTGGAGACATCATGCAACAAAAATCCTTGCAGGAAAAGAAGGCTTGCTCCGAGCCAAGCTGCTCGATCAGCCCGCAACTCTTCAGGCATGGCATCCAGCTCCACCTCGCCTCACTTGGAACTGCATGCGCGTCTTCTTTCTGTTCAACTAGGTGTTCTGAGGCACGACGCAATTTTTGAGCCTTCAACTTCTCTCGGAATCGGAACCCCTAGATAGTTTCTTGAAGGCTGAGGTCTCCACCACTAATGAGCTGCCTCACCTCGTGTCTGGAGGTGTCCAAAGTCGGATTGGAGTCTTCGACCTGCAAAACCCATAGCGTCCGATCGCTCCGTTCGTAGCGATGCCAGGAGCCCCGTTCGTAGCATCAGCCAAGCATTTCGCTCTGAAATCACCACACCGATCCACACCACTCTCGTTTCATCTGGTTTCAAAAGCTGATTCCGTTCTGTTTGCTCCGTCCTCCGGTGAAGCCGACTCCTCACCTTGCCCAAGTGAAGCGAATGAACATGGATGAACCGGAATCCAACGGTCCGAGTCCGAGTGTTCCATCATATGGCTATTATATAAAAACGATGATGAATGATACTAAATGACTCACACAGGGATCCTTTTTGCATTGTGAGGGGACGATTGGGGTAGTCCATTATCGGCTTCGCAGGTGTGCAAACTTCAAAATGCACAAGCAGTTGCAAGAGATGTGGTGAGTATCGATCCATTTCGCAGGTGTCCTGTCATTTTATGTTGCACACTCACAAATCAAACACACTCATGGATATGCGTACTGACTTGATTGCGGTGCCACACGCCGGCCTAGGGTTCCATTTCCTAAGAGTACCAGTAGGAAACCAGGGAATCCTGGGGGTCTTCAAACGGAGAGGTGGCCCAAAGAGGAAGGAGCCGAGCGACGAGGCGACAAGTTGACGACTTTCCGCTCGCATCTGCAGTGCAAAGAAAACAACAAGACATCTGAGTATCGAGATTCTTGCCTTGGCCTCTTGCCATACGTAAAGTGGAAAATTGCAGGTACGTGACTCCAGCGTCCCGGAGTCATACCACATCCGATCAGCAGTGTCTTTGTTAGGCAGTGACTGCTGAAAGGACCACTGCCCCCCTGTTGTGAAACAAAATCCAAAAGGATCCCTATGATTCCAAGGGTCACACACACACGCCTCCCCGAAGGGAGGCATGTTTTAAGCTCCGCGCCAAAAGGTGCGGATAAAGTAGTAGCAAGGCAAGGAACCTCTAGTAGCGTCAAAGTAGCGACCTAGCACCTAGTAGGAAGGCCAGGAGCCCCTAGTAGCAACTCAAGCTAAGGTCCCGACAGGAGGGAGGGGTAGGGAGAGACGAGAAAAAGGAAAGAGGAGGAAGGAAGGTGTTCCCAGCTACGACGCAAGCGTCCAAGGACACACCAAAAGAAGAGCGGAGAAGGGTTCCCAGCTATGACAAA